ACAACCCTATCTGCCCGTTGGAATCACCTGGGGGAGCCTTTAAAAATCCCAGTGCCTTGGCAAATAATAGGAAGGTCTAATAGGGAGCTTACTTTGTGCCAAACACTGTTTTAATATATTAATTCACTTAACTTTCACAACAACCCTGTGATACATGTATTATCATTATTCTTAATTTACAGATTAAAAGACAGGCACATAAACATAAACTGGTTTTCTAACTTTAACTGCCTTTCCTAATCAATGGCAGAGCTGGGATTTGAACACAGGCAGTGTTGGCTCCAGAAGCTGGCTCTTTACCTGCTGCCCTCTGCTAACCTTCCTTCCAACTGGCCAAGCTCACCTCACCTCTAAAAACCGTGGAGAAATGAGCATAGTCTAACCGCACAGACTGGGTTGAAACTTTGAACAAGTTGCTGCAACTTCTTTGGCCCTTCTCCCCAGTCAAAGGAAGGAACTGGATTTTGAACTAAGATTTGGTGAAACTAAAGATCACTTAAACAAGCATCAGCTGGTTATACGTGACAAGATGGGAACAGAGCTGAATGTTTGATGGCAGATACTATACTGAAATTTCAGCAGTTAAGCCTCAGGACTCTTCCTTTTAAGTGACAGGGCCAAACCTCAGACTGACTTAAAGAAGGGAGAAGGAGTTGATTAGCTCATCGACTGTTTGGAACCAAGTTTCGAGTCATCGTGACTCTCCCCCACCTCCACTCCCCGTTTCCGTCCTCAACCCCTACCTCCAGCTTTCTGAACTCCCTTCTCGCTCCTCTGCTTCCCTTTGCTTCCCTTCTCCTGTGTGGGGGCAGAAATGGCCCCTGGGAGTGCCGGTGTTGCACCATTATCACACTTAAGTAGCCAGGAATAAACCATAAAAGCATCTCCCTTCCACGATCTAGATCAGGACTCTGGCTCAGCTGAGGTCACGTGCCCAGCCCCAAACCAATCTCCAGGTCCAGGGGATGGGGTATTATGATCGGTCAGGCTGCCTCTCTGAATGAGGACAGAACTGTTGACTGACAGCCTTCCTACAAAGACAGGGAGGTAAGGATGAGTTTTTCTCAAACGGAAGTTATGTGAGCCAGACCAAAGCTTTTTTTTTTTTTTCATTTTGGCCACACCGCACGTGGCATGTGAGATCTTAGTTCCCCCACCAGGGATGAAACCCGCGCCCACTGTATTGGACCGCCAGGGAAGTCCCAGACCAAAGCTTTAATAATCATGTAAGAATAATGATGATAATTGACATTAGCTATTCTAGGTATCTCTACTTCAATGCCTATATTCCCTTCCCCCAGTTTTATTGGGCTATAATTGGCATATAACATTGTATTAGTTTCAGGTGTACCGCATGATTTGCTATATGTATACGTTGCGAAATGATTACCACAATAAGGTTAGTTAACATCCATCACCTCACAGTTACAATTTTTTTTCTTGGGATAAGAGCTTTTAAGATTTACTATCTTGGACTTCCCTGGTGGCGCAGTGGTTAAGAATCCGCCTGCCAATGCAGGGGACACGGGGTCCGAGCCCTGGTCTGGGAAGATCCCACATGCCACGGAGCAACTAAGCCCGTGCGCCACAACTACTGAGCCTGGCGCTAGAGCCCGCAAGCCACAGCTACTGAAGCCCGTGCACCTAGAGCCCGTGCTCCTCAGCGAGAGAAGCCACCGCAATGAGAAGCCCGCACACCACAATAAAGCGTAGCCCCCGCTCGCCACAACTAGAGAAAGCCCACGTGCAGCAACAAAGACCCAACACAGTCAAAAATAAAAAATATAAGTAAATTTATAAAAAAAAATTTACTGTTAACAGCTTTCAAATATACAACACAGTACTGTTAACTATAGTCAGTATGTTGCACATTACATTCCCAGAATGTATTTTTGTTATAACTGGACGTTTGTACCTTTTGACCTCCTTCATGCATTTCCCCAGCACCCCACCCCTCACCTCTGGTAATCACCAATCTGTTCTCTGTATCCATGAATTAGCGTTTTTTGTAGTTTTTTTTTTTTAAAGATTCCACATATAAGGGAGATCCCATGGTATTTGTCTTTCTCCGTCTGACTTACTTTACTTAGCATAATGCCCTCAAGGTCCATAGATATGTATCTAGGAATCCATCACCACAATCAAGATAGTGAACATGACCTTCATTCCCCAGACTTCCTTGTCCCCCATTCTAACCCATACCCTGGCCCCCCAGCAGGTAACCACTGATCCATTCTATCACTATAGATTTGTTTGCATTTTCTAGAATTATAAATAAATTGAATCATACAATACATACTGTTTTCTTGTCCAGCTCTTTCTTTCACCATAATTATTTTGAGACTCATCCATGCTGTTGTGTGTATCAAGTTCATTCCTTCTAGTGACTGAGTTGTATTCCATTGTACGGCTGTATCACAGTTTATTCATCAATTCAGCCAGTGGATGCTTCTTTGACCAGGGAAATCTTTGCCAAACCTGGGACCCTTAATGTCATGGGCTCAGTCATCCTGGGTTCCCCATGAGGTCTCCTGGGTGCTCTGAACCCCTTCATAATCTCGTATCTTCCAGTGAAAGAACACCAGGAACACACCCGTATTCATTTCCTAGGGCCGCCGTAACAAATTAGTGGCTTAAAACGACAGGAATCTATACTGTCACAGTTCTGGTGGCCAGAAGTTCTGAAATCAAAGTGCTGGCAGGGCCACCTCCCTCTGAAGGCTGTAAGGGAGAATGCCTCCTTGCCTGTCCCAGCTTCTGTAGTCCCAGGCATTCCTAGGTCTGTGGCAGCGTCACTCAAATCTGTCTCCATCTTGACATGGTCTGCTCCTTCGTTTCTCTGTGTCTTCTCTTTCTCTGTCTCTTACAAGGACAGCCATCATTGGATTTAGGACCCATCCTAATCCAGGATGGTCTCATCTTGAGATTTGTACCTTAATTACATCTGCAGAGAACCTTATTCCAAGTAAGGTCACACCACTTTTCTGGCTTCCTTTGTTTCTGCCTTCCATAGCTCATCCCTCACAGCTGGTCCAATGAGAGACGCAGTTTAAGGCTCAATCTCTCTCAGCTTCTAAAAGAAATGTGATTCAAGTGGAATAAAGAGCATCTGCCCCCAGCCCTAGCCAGCCCTCCTAGAATAAGTCCTTTCTCACACCCTCTTTTTTTTAACCCCCAATTTATTATTTTACAGTTCTACAGGCCAGAAGTCTGAAATGAGTCTCATTGGGCTAAAACCAACGTTTTGGCAGGGCTGAATTCCTTCTGGAGGCTCTACGAGCAAATCCATTTCCTTGTCTTTTCTAGGTTCTAGAGGCTGCCTGCATTTTTGGTTCATGGCCCCATTTCTCTGTTTTTAAAGCAGCAACATCGGGCCATCTCTCTCATTCCAATGCCCTTCTCTCCTCTCTTTCACTTATAAGGACCCTTGTGATTACATTGGGCCCACCTGGATAATCCAGGCTAAGCTCATGATCAAGGTTGATTAGCAACCTCAGTCCCCCCTTTTCCATATAATCTAACATATTCATAGGTTCCAGAGACATCTCTGGACATCTTTGAGGGACCATTATTCTGCCTACCATACCTCTCTTTCCTATTTTCCACTTTCTCTGTATCGCTAGTGATTTCCTCAGATCTAGCTTTTAGGTAACAAATTCTCAACTGTGTTTGAACTACCATCTAATTTTTCTACTGAGTTTTTTTTTTTAAAGTTTAGTTGATTTACAATATTGTGTTAGTTTCAGGTATACATCAAAGTAATTCATATATATATTTCAGATTATTTTTCATTGTAGGTTATTACAAGATACTGAATATAGTTCTCTGTGCTATACAATAAACCCTTGTTGCTTATCTAGTTTATGTATAGTAGCTTGTAACTGTTAATCCCATACTTCTAATTTATTCTCCCCCCGCTTTCCCCTTTGATAACCATGTTTGTTTTCTATGTCTGTCAGTCTGTTTCTGTTTTGTATATCGATTCATTTGTAGTATTTTTTAGATCCCACATATAAGTGATATCATATAATTTTGTCTTTGTCTGACTTACTTCACTAATAGTCTCAGGTCCATCCATACTGCTGCAAATGGCAATATTTCATTACTTTTTATGGCTGAGTACTGTTCCATTTCATATATATGGTATATGTATATACCACAGCTTCTTAAGCCAACTCTCTGTTGATGGGCACTTGGGTTGTTTCCATGTCTTGGCTATTGTAAATAGTGCTACTATGAACATTGGGGTGTATGATGTATCTTTTCAAAGTAGAATTTTCATCTTTTCTGGATACATATGCAGGAGTGGGATACCTGGATCATATGGTAGCTCTATTTTTAGTTTTTAAAGTAATCTCCATACTGTTTTCTATAGTGGCTGCACCAATTTACATTCCCATCAACAGTGTAATAGGGTTCCCTTTTTGCCACACTCTCTCCAGCATTTATTACTTATAGACTTTTTGATGACAGCCATTCTGACTGCTCATACCCTCCTACAGGGATGCCCCACGGTTCCCTATGGCCTGAGTTACTCCTCGTTGCAACAAGTATTAAACCCAATTTGTTCAACTACAAGTTCTATAATGGAGAGAACAGTGCCCACTCTGTCCCCACTTCCCCAAAGATATGTCTACCCAGAATCTCAGAATGTAGGTTGGCCAAACTGGAAGGTCAGAGGCTGGGGCAGATGCTCTTTATCCCACCTAAACCACATTTAGCTTAGAAGCTGGGAGAGATTGAGCCTTATGGTTGGTTTGCCATTGGACCAGCTGTGATGAAGCCGGCATGGGAAGCAAAAGCAAAAGCAAAGGAAGCCAGACAATGATGTGACCAAGAATATGCATTCACCTGCATACAGAGGGCGTCTGTCTTCCTTCCTCTGCCTTAGTCACCACTGATACCAGTTCCTGGCATGACATAGGTGCCATCTAAATACTTACTGGATGAACAAATGAAAACATCAGACCTGATTTTTTTTTCTCCCATTGTTCCCATAGGAGGGGTTCCAATGGAGAAGTTGGCAGCCTATAGCTCATCCAAGGCAGCTCTGACCATGTTTTCAGCAGTCATGAGACAAGAGCTCTCCAAATGGGGAGTTAAAGTCTCTGTCATCCAGCCTGGAGGCTTCCGAACAAGTAGGTGTCTGAGGCCAAGAGCCCTGCAATATTCATTCTGGAAGGGATGCTGAAGGTCCTTTGTTTTGACAGAGTTCAAGCCAAACCCCTCAGTGGTGGACCAAAGAGGGGTTGGGATGGGTGGCCTTCTTCTAAGTATAGAGGGGCAGGTGCCAGGTTGTGCAGTGTACGGTTGCTCTCCTGCCGCCTTTCACCAAGGAATTAAGTTTTGATGTTATATATTTTTCAAACACAACCTCCTCCCCTCTGAAGGACATGACCCACATCCTTCTACCCCGGGAGGAGATGGCCATCCTCTCCTCTCCGCTCCCTGAATTTCTGGACTCTGAGCGGATGTAGACGACCCGCATGGCTCAGTTCTTAGTTCTGGGTCATCAACCATGTAATCGGTGATCTAAATGAAGGTGTAAAAGAGCATATCTAATAAAAGGCCACACACTGGGAGGGATGCCTAACACACTAAAGAACAAACCCTAGAGGTCTGAATATTAACCCAAATGCACCAGATAAAAATCTAAAAGAAAAGCAGAACTTTGTCTTGAAGCATTTAGCAGCCAGGATCTCCCAGAGCTGTCCAGGAGGAACACGAAGACTCGGTGAACGGGCTCATCTGGGAAGGAAACCGAGGGAACGAGACCTGGGCCACTCAGGTTGAGAGGCGGGACCAGGGCAGCAGGAATGGAGGGAAGGTGAAGTCTTGAGAGGAGTTTCCAACTTGGGGACTCCCTGGGCAGGTGGGAGAGTTGAGGGGAGTTGATGGAGAAGGAGGGTGGGTCCAAGATGATGCCGAATATGGCAGCCTGAGAGACAGAGCACAGAAAGCTGCCTGACAGCTAGTGGAAGGGGAGAATGATGAATTTGAATTTGAACCTGGCAGGAGGATTCAGAGTTTGGTGACACAGCCAACGAAAACTTCCAACACACAGATGCAAGATTCCCTTTGGACCGGAGAGCAACCCTGCAGTTAAGTTACAGTTTCAAGGACTCGCTGAAATTGTCATAGCTAGCATTTTGGGCAGCTGTTCTTATCAGGCACTAGCCATTTTCCGTACATTCTTTCCTGATATTGTTGATCTTATTTTTTTAATTGAGAAATATATCATATACACACATAGTTTAATAAATTATCAATATTATAAAAATTCATGTACTTAACATCAAGATCAAAAAATAAAACATTGCCAGCTCTCAGAAGCCCTCACATGGTCCTCTCCAGTTTTAGCCCTCTCCTCCCTGCAGCAGGTAACCTGTCATACTTTTTGTAACATTCGTTTATTTGCTGTTCTTGACAATGTTCCATGCATACAGGCATCCCCAAACAATAGTTTGGCTTTACTGGTTTTTGAACTTTAAATGGAATCAATGTGTATGTATTTTTTTTGCGTCTGGCTTCTTTCACCAAACATTATGCTTTCACAATTCATTTATATTGTGTGTAGCTGTAGTTCATTCATTTTCATTGCTAGCATTCTGTGAATATGCCACAATTTTTCTACTATCGATGGGATATTTGGGTCACTTTTGGACAACTGTGAACAATTCAGCTGTGGACCTTCTGGCACACCTACTGTGGCGTATGTGTGTGTGATTTTTCCTATGACACATACCCAGGAATGGGATGACTGGATCATAGATTTTAATTATCTTCAACTTTATTGGATAATTCCATATTGTTTCCTTAATTATCATTCCAATTTTACTCCCATCCTTTCCATATATGTCTTAATCTGCATCACAGCCCTGGGGAGTAGGTTTAATTGACATCATTCACCAGGTGAGGACACTGAAGTAGGATGGGTAATATATAGCTCAGCATGGACATCTGTGACACCACGATGGTGGGGAATTTGAAACCAGATCCCTAGGTGCAGAGTCTGGTTCTTTCTTTTATATCAGGATGTCCTCAGTTTAAAGCTGTTATTTGATGGTCTCTCTAAAGGCAAGAGGCCAGACAGTGGAGGGCTGAGGACTTAAGTTTGGAGAATGACATTTGAAGTGGGGGATGAGGAAAGGAATCTTTAGGGACACAAAGAGCTCCTGAAGACATTCAGGGAAACATATCAGATTTTTTGGGTACCCTGCAATAAAAACTAGCTCAAGCATATTGCACGCTTCGCAGATTTTAAGACTTTATGTGTACAATCTCACTTAATCCTCACCTATGAGGTAGGCATCATAATATTCCCATCTTATGGGTAGAAAACCAAGGCTCAGAGAAGTTAAGGAATTTCTCAAGCCACAGTGCTGATATGAGGCAGAGATGGGATTTGGATCCACGTCATGTTACCAGTTTTATTGTGTGTAGCCCCAAAGTGGCAGGGGATGGGCAAGTGTGTATCAAAAGTGGCAGATGGGGCTTCCCTGGTGGCGCAGTGGTTGAGAGTCTGCCTGCCGATGCAGGGGGCGCGGGTTCATGCCCCGGTCGGGGAGGATCCCACATGCCGCGGAGTGGCTGGGCCCGTGAGCCATGGCCGCTGAGCCTGCGTGTCCGGAGCCTGTGCTCCACAATGGGAGAGGCCACAACGGTGAGAGGCCTGCGTACCACAGAAAAAAAAAAAAAAAAAGTGGCAGATGAAGGTTAACAAAAGGGTGGTGGCTTTGTCATCAATAAAGAGAGTTTTGGGGATTTTGGACAGGGTAGGCACAAGAGTGATTTGAAAGTCCATGAAGTGTTTAAAGAGGGAGGAAGTGGAGAGGAAAAGGAATCCCCTGTGAGAGCAGAGACTGGGGCAGAAGTAGCTGGAGGAACAATAGTTCATGCGAACATGTTTTTTAAGATGCAGAAGCCTCTGGAGTAGTAACTGTCAGGGTAATCATTTCTTTGAGTATGGTCGTGCCTTCATGAAGAGAAATGAGCAATTGAAACTCCGTTTGCATTTCCATGAGTATAATTGGATTTCACTGGCTTACATTTCATAGTGAGGCTCCCCTGCAGTCCTGGTATCCAGGAGTCACCCAAGCTAGCAAAGATTCATCCCCACAGCAATCCCTGAGCAATCACACACTTTGTGGGAGGGAGTGTGGGTTGCTGCAACCTTTCTGGAAAGTAATCTGGCACTAGCTGTTAAAATTCAAAATGAATGTGTTTTTTGACCAGACAGCCACCCTTTGGGGACTGTAGCCTAAAGAAGTGAATGCCGAAAAACAAAAGGATACATTGTGCAAAGCTGGTGACGGCAGCGTTCCCTGAAATGGTGAAACCTAGGAACGACTGGCAAGTCCTTTGATAGAGAAATGGTGACTAAAAGCTGCTCAGTGGAAAATTCTGCTGCTCTGGTTTCAAACTATAGCCATTGACCAGGAGGCAGGTCTGTGATTCATTACTTAGCAAACAAACAAAAATCAAAACCCACAAACAAACAAAAAAGCAAATTCCTGGAAAATACGTATAGTATGATCCTTTTTGTGTTTTGTTTGCTTCTGGTAAAATAAAATTAAGCCAAAGCCAAACATATCTATATGTTTGTACGAGCAAGAAGGGAGTGTAGAATGACACACAATACTGTAAGTTTCCTCAGAGGAGATTAATTTTTAAAACATATGCATCTCCTTATTATTCATTATTTATATAATGAGCAGCCATTGCTACTATATTTTAAAGTAATTATATAGATACTATTAGATTTTATATAATAAGCAAGAATTTACTTCTATATTAAATATATGGTTATATATTTAATCACATATAATTTATGTTAAAATTTAATGTATTATTTAAAATGAAATTAAAATTATATTTGTTAAATAGATAACATGAGGGACTTCCCTGGTGGTCCAGTGGTTAAGACTTCGCCTTCCAGTGCCGGGGTGGGGTTGGGGGGGATGGGAGGGGTGGGGTATGGGTTCGATCCCTGGTCAGGGAGTTAGGATCCCACATGCCTTGGGGCCAAAAAACCAAAAACATAAAATATAAGCAACACTGTAACAAATTCAAGAAAGACTTTAAAAAAAATAGATAGCATGATACTCAACATTACATATTTTTTTAACCTTTTTTTTTTGGCCGCGTGGCTTGCAGGAACTTCCCTGACCAGGGATTGAACCCAGGCCACGGCAGTGGAAACCCGGAATACCAACCACTAGGCCACCAGGGAACTCCCAACATTATATATTTAATTTTATACACAGAAGCAGGCGTTACTGCTATATTTTAAAAAATTATATGTGTACATGTATATGTAGGTATATACATATTGTGTAGATAATATATATTATATACATTATATTTTATATTGTATATAATAGTCATGAAAAGATATGTACTAGAATGTTTGTGGCAGCACTATTCGTAAAAGCCTCAACTTGAAAACAACCCAAACGCCCATCATAGTATAATAGATAAATAATTTATGGCATATTTACAGAATGGAAAGCTACTGACTACACAATACATGCATCCATGTATTCATATGTCTAAAGTCAGGCAAAGCTACTCTACTCTGTTCATCTGACAGTGGCTCCTGGAAAGGTGGCCGAGGCTGGTTTGTCCTTTCCTTGGTCTGGTTGCTGGTTACATGAGCTATTCAGTTTGTGGAAACCTATTCATCTGTGCACTGTTCTGTATATATGTTTAAAAGAATAGAATTGCCATTATAAAGCACATACTTTAAAAGGCATTTGGGAATATCCTTCCCAACAGAGGCCAATTCACAAGGGCCTTCTTCCCAATTAGGGGTAGGACATGCCTGTTTTAGCCTTCCCAGCATCTGAGCCTCTCTTTTTCTTGCACCTCAGACATCGCAGGCACGAGTGACATGTGGGACAAGCTGGAGAAAAACATCCTGGACCACCTCACCCCTGACGTGCAAGAGGACTACGGCCAGGACTATATCCTTAGGGAACGCAATTTTCTCATGTTCATGCAAACCTACTCTGTAATGGACGTCTCCCCAGTCCTCTTGGACGTCCAGCATGCCATCTCTGCTAAGAGCCCCTTTGCATTTTATGCACCCGGGAAAATGTCTTATCTGTGGCTCTGTTTTGTTTCCTTTAGCCCTACTGGCATATTTGATTATTTTAGCAAAAAAATGAACAGCCATAGAAAGAGCATGCCCAGAGCGTTAAGCATGCCTAACTGGAAGAATGAAGCCATGTAGGCAAATCAGTGGGAAATGTTAAGAGTCTTGGAATGAAAGGGAATCTCGAGCTTCCCATTAAAGTTGTGGTTTCCTACCTTGCAGCCCCTGTGAACTCTGTTGATTGAATAGTGAGACAGCAGGGAAGAGGGCAGGGCACAAACTTGAAAAGAATGACATAGACATTGAGCATATGACATAAAACTGGTTAGAACCGACTAGGCCCAAGATGGCAGAAGATTGAACTTCCAGTAGACCTTCAGCCTCATTATACGCACATTGTAAGCTAAATGACACACCCATTGGCGCCATAATAGTTCTGAGGCAGACCATAAAAAGCCAAAAACTGGGCGGTGGCCCAATTCCTGGAAATCCCCACCCCTTCCCTGAAATAGTTGGAATAATCCTCCCACTCGTTAGCCTATGAAATCACCCAGCCCATAAAAACTAACCACCCCATATTTTGGGGTGCTCTCAAGCCTTTTGAGATGGACCAAATTCTGTCTATGGGGTGTGTATCTCTCTCAGTAGATCTACTTCTTACCTATCACTTTGTCTCTCACTGAATTCCTTCTGTGATGAGACATAGAGAACCTGACCTTCATTAAGTCGTGAGACCAGGTGTGCGATTTCAGTTAAAAGACAGCGGGTTTGAGTCTCAGTCTGGGTTGTGAGGTTTCAGTAGGACTTACTGCAGGGTGGAAATGATCACCATGGAGAGCATTAATTGGGTGTTTACACTGAATACATTTCAGATATTCTCTCATCTAGTTCTCATTTGAGAATGGAGGTAGGAATCTTCACCCCTACTTCATAGGTAAGGGAATTAAGGATCAGAGAAGTTAAGTTCCTAGTTCGTTGTCACACAGCCAACAAAAGGCAGAGCTAGAATTGAAATCCAGGTTGGACTCCACTGCTTGCCAGGAGAGGCAGAAGAGAAAGAGAGATGAAGAGGGAAAAGAGAGAGGAAAGGGAGAAAAGGAGGAGGAAATGGTAAGGACCACAGTCAAATCAAGTCTTTCTCACTGTGCATTGATATCCTCTTGTAACTACTGCTTCCAAGGTATTGGATTCATTGTATGTAACCAGCGCTCCATGCCCCTCTTCTCCCTTCCTCTACCAGGAGCCCTGGGGATAATAGGATGAGGCCTCCCATCTCAAGCAGTGCCCCTGAGGTCTTTTGGCAGACATGGGGCATGTGACTGTCTGGGTTTGGTGTCCATAGTAACCATCCCTGTGGCCTCCATCTGAGCATCCAGGATGGAAAAGGCAGCATTATCACTTGGAGAAGGCCAGCTGAAAGGAGCAACGTCAGATACTAAGGGAGGTGTAGCCAAGTTCACCTGGTAGAGGCAAAAGGGGAGGAGCTGGTGAACAGAGGGGCCATGAAAGTAACCAGAAAAAAACCCAGCTTGACATGAGGGAAGCAGAGGTCCAGATATCTTGCTCATTGCAAACCTCCCTGTGTCCCATATCCTTTCTAGAATGTGCAGGTTTTCTATTTTCCAACCCCATGGAGGTTTGGGTAGATAAACTGACAGTAGATAAACTGACAATGCTCTGTGATTTTACCCCAAAGAAAATAATAAAAAAAGATATAGTGAGATAAATAGTTATAAAATACCGATACTTTTTTTTTTTTTCTCCTGCGGTACACAGGCCTCTCACCGCTGAGGCCTCTCCCACTGTGGAGCACAGGCTCCGGACGCGCAGGCTCAGCGGCCATGGCTCACGGGACCAGCCGCTCCGCGGCATGTGGGATCTTCCCGGACCGGGGCAGGAACCCGCGTCCCCTGCATCGGCAGGCGGACTCTCAACCACTGTGCCACCAGGGAAGCCCTATGATACATTTTTAATGGCTGGTCATGCTGACTGTCCATTGGTTCTACACCATTGTTTTAGGGTAGAACAGAAAAAAAAAAAGAAAAAAAAATCAAGTGTTAAGTGTTGATTTCCAAAATAGGCACTTTTTGTAGATAAGAGTTATGAAGCCCAAGGCTTCCATCTGCATGATTTGGATGTTGAGAGAACAAAGTTTTTATACAACCTGCTGTCCAAGGTTTGGAGGACTGAGGGTTGTGTGCTTCACTCTAAGCCAGTGGTTCTCAGAGTGTGGTCCTTGGACCTGCAGCGTCAGCGTCACCTGAGAACAGTTGACCTAAAATAATAAAACAGCCAGTTATTATTTTACCAGCAAAATGAGTTTATTCGAAACAGCACAGAATTGCAACTTGGGACAGGCAATCTATGGCAAACCACAGGCAAGTCTAGAGAACAGAGAGGTATTTTATAGAGGAGAAGGCGGAGTTGGGAGGAGCTGTTATAAACAGAGTCCATTGGAGGAAACTGGGAGTTCAAAGTGTAGTGGCTTTTCATTGGCTGAGCTGTGACAGTCTCTCATTAGCTGGAATGTTGCCCAGCAAGGAGTTCTTCCTCCTGCTGGGTAATAAAGTAATAACCTTCTTCCTATTGGAGATGCAAAGTACCTCTCTTCCTGATAGGTCTGCAATTCCTCTAGTGGTCGGGCATGAGAGGAACCCCTTCTGGCCTCCTGACTCCATTTAAAATGAGGTTTCTCTTTATTAATTTCCAGAGAACCTAGTAGAAATGCAGGTTCTCAGGAGCCAACCCAATCGTACTTTAGGTTCCTATGGCTGCTGTAACAAATCACAAAAAAACTTAGCAGCTTAAGACAACAGACATTTATTATTTTACAGTTCTGGAGGTCAGAATTCTGAAACGGGTCCTAAAAGGGTAAAGTCAGCAGAGCTGTGTTCCTTCTGGAGGCTCAAGGGGAGATTCATTTTCTGCCTTTTCCAGCTTCCAAAGGTCTTCTGTATTTCTTTGCTTGTGGCTGCATCACTCTGACCTCTGCCTCCTTCATCTCATCTCCTTTGACTCTTACCCTCCTGACTCACTGTTTTAAGGAACTTGTGATGACATTGGACAGGATCATCCAGGTAATCCAGGATCATCTCCCATCTCAAGATCCTTAACTTAATCGTCTGCAAGGTCCCTTTTGCCATGTGAGGGTCACATATTCACAGGCTCCAGGAATTCTTTTGCCATTATCATTAGCCATACATCAGACCATTATTCTACCGACCATACCTACTAAATCAGAAATTCTGGGGGTGGGCCCAGCAACTTGTGTTGTAATGAGCCCTCCAGGAGATGCACACCCGAGTTTGAGAACCATTGCTCTAAGCCATAGAGTAAGCAAGCTGCGGGATTTGTGGTCAGGTCACAGAAGGAGAGGGAATCTCTTTGAGGACAGTGGGAGAGAGCTGGAGACATCAAACAGGGTCTACTTTCTGTTCCGCAGCCTCCCAGGGGTTGAAATCACTGTGAGGCATGGGGAGAAGGTGCTGAATACAGACCCAGGGGGTTCTGAGAATCCTGGATCAGAGAAGCTACTAGCTGGTTTCCCATAGGAGTGCTTCCACACTACCTTCGGGTTACCTTGATAGAGAGAGAGAGTACTGAAGAGAGTACTACTGGAGAGAGTAGCGAAGAGCTCCAGAATGAAGACCCAGTGCACCTGTGGGGTGGTTCAGGGGAATACTGTAGCAGAGGCCACTTGAGCTAGGGGCTAAAGCGAGGATGAGAAATGCAACCAGAGACCAATGAAGATGAGACAACGCTGCTCTCCTGGTGCCAGGAAAATACACCAGCTCCTACGAACCCAGATTCTTAGGATTAGGGCAAGGAAAAGAAGAAGAGATGGCAGGGGAGGGGATCTTGAATTCCACTGCACATTCATCTGGAAGACCCTGTTTTAAACCAGAAGAGACTAAGTTACCTGAAAGTATTAATAAGCTTTAAAATATATTTCAGTTTTAGCACAATACCTATAGGTTCTCAGAAAACAAGAGACAAGTATTACATATGAAATCCAGGCCCTGACCATGTCTGCACAGTAAATGATGTCCCTGGTTTACTGTAAGAAACCAGTAAGAGCTAATGGCAGAGGGAAGCCCCCAATATATCCACAATTCGTCGTATTCTTGGCGGAAGGCATGATGAACAGGTAATTCAACAACAGGACTCCTGGCAAAAAGTATTTTATCTTCCCCAGTCCTGCTTTCTGCTCAAGGGCAGGATACAAGGTACATTTAATACCTGGCCACACAGCATCACATGCAAATTGCATGCAAACCCTCACCCACTCCCCTTTATCTCTTCCCTTTCTGTATTTTCCCAATGCTGGCAGAGGCAAGTGGGCCATCCTCACAACCCAGGATAAGAGGAAGGAATTAGAAAAAAGCATCCAGGGAAAATATGATTTCTTTTATTACATAGGGAGCTGATAAAGGCCTACAAATAAACTTTACTATTGAATGGAACATTAAATTTCATCAGTTTCATTATACTGGTGATAAAGACCATGTTTTGGAATGCCATTCTGGATGGTGTAATTCTGAGGAAGAGTAATTCCATGAAAACAGCTCTGACGAGGTGCTGGTATCTCCTGCCTAGTAAAATTTCCCAGTCCAACTCACACATAGTCGTCCACTCAGGGACCTAGGACCCCTGAACACCTGCTCTGGAGTGGCTCCAAATAATGTTTCTCTACTGATTTATCTTATAAGCCAATATTTCCCTCTGGGATCTCACGTGTAGTGGTGTCCATGGCAGGACCAGGTGGGTGTTTCAGAGTCTCAGCTTAATACCCAGCTCAGAATTCCACAGCAATAAATAAGAAGCAAAAGGAAGGGAGAGAGTTTGGGAACTAATGTAAAGGTTGAAGATATGTTTGTAGTCTGAAGTTGCTTACTCTTGCCTGCCCAGCATTCCTTTGGGGGAGGATTTTAGTGAGACTGTCACTCAACGGACTCTACATCCCCATCATAGGGGTGGGCATGTGACCCAGGCTGGCCAATCAACTCATACCCTTGGCTCCAGTGACTGGTTCGGGGCGGGGGGGGCACATGACCCAAGAAGAACCAGTCGTGGCTCCCGATGGTGGGAGGATTGCTAATGGGCTCTGGGAGAAAAAGGGTATCCTTTTCCATTATAATGTCCATGTTAAACTGAAGCCTCTAGAGCCCACAAAGAGGAGAGCCTGGTAGAGAATGAAGCCAGGATAGAGGAAAGTGGGTCA